CTCAAATTGCAAAATCACTTGGCTATGGAAGTGAATCTGAACAAGTAATTTAGAAGCGAGAGATCTGAATTCAAGAAACAAGAAAACGTAGGTAGGGTTCAAAGTCTTCTCTGGCGGCTATGGCTCTCTTCTAGGATGAATTAGAAACCTTAAGATATGCATCACACTAAACACTGAGAGTGGGAGGACATCAGAGGGGGCAGAAGTTCATAGTGTGTAGAAGGATGATTCGAGGAGAAAATTGCAACATTTTTCTTTATAAATTTTTTGAAGAATCATGGAGTGTTGATGTTGTGGGAGATATTCCGGAGGTATGGAAAGATTAAGGACTTGTTTATTCCAAAGAAAGGTGTTGCAAGGCACTGATGGGAAGGTTACACCAACCAGAAAAGTTTGATAGTGTAGTTGACTTCCTTTTGTGACAATCTATATTGAATGTCATGGTCATTACCATATGACCTGGTTTTGTTAGAATCAAAGGGTCTGGAGGATTTGGGAGAGGTTATAACTAGCATAAAGATGGTTTGTCTATACTATCTCATGTCATTTATTGGTGGCATCATCGTATGGTGACTGTTAACAGGGGAATGTGGGTTCATTTGTACAACTAACATATCACGCTTAGTTCGAGGCATTCTTTTTGAAGATAGTGTCACCGTTGGAAGATTTTGTATGCATGGACTATAATACAACTTCCCGAAGACGTACAGATTTTGCAAAAGTTTGCCTTCAGACTTAAACACTTACGCTAATTAACTAAGATCTAAAGATTTAGGTTAACAATTTTGTGTTCTCAATCTGGATGGTCAAGGAGCATAGGAGAGAATCCTTTCAACGAGTGTGGTGGTCTTATGATTCAAATACTTCATCGCTAGAGAGTATTGATGATATTTCTTTGGATTTAAATGCTCTAGAGGATGATAGTTCAGACGATGGTAGGAAGTGTGATCTAACAGTAGCGAACCACAAAAAAAATGGTGACCAGACATGGTGTGGAGAGCTTGAAGGAAGGGGAATAGGGGGTGGATTATCGGGGTCAAAATTCATGTGATTTTGTGTCAGAGATTACACAAAATCAAGAGGAGTTTGAAATAACAATCAAATTTTGTGGAGGACGTAACAAATGTGCAAATGAGAGGGAATTCAAATCAAAAAGTGGTTTTAACTTTAAATATCAGTAATGACTTGATTGTCAATAATAATGTAGATGTTGTGAGATTGTGTGATGATGCATTAGAAAATAAGGTTGATTAAGGCGAGCTTTGTTGGTGAAAACTTGTGAGGAAGGGAATTGGTGGAGAAATTGATGAAGAATTATGAGAAGTGGGTTTTATTGATAAAAGACCAATAAAAGAGGTAGGGATATTTAAAGACCAAATCTAATGGGCTAATTATTAGGCCTTCTCATGGATCAAACAAGGCTAATCACATATTGAGTCAAGGACTGGACTCTTTTCAATTTAATGATGTTGAGGTGGTAGTGTAGGAAAGAATTAATGTTAGCAGTGCGAGGAGGAAAAAGCACGAATCCAAGTTTCAGGCTCGGTCTAAATTCACGGTACTTGCAAATAGAATATTGGTGTACTAGCAAGCATAATAAATGAGCAACAATTGACATTCACACCTGAGAAGAACATGTTAAATAATGTGCTTATTGCTATGAGGTGATGGATTATGTTATGAAAAACAAAAAGAAATGTTTTCTATTGAAAGTATATTATGAGAAAGCATATTATTCAATGGATTGGAAATATATGTTATGAAAGTTTAGCTTGAGAAATAGTGGGTAAGGTGGATGAAGGCTCGTATTTGTGGTGGCCATTTCTCTATCCTTGTTAATGGAAGCCCAACAGAGGAAGTGGCAATTATTAGAGGCCTCAAATAAGGCGATCATTTATCTCTTTTCTTATTTTTATTAGTGGCGGAAGGTTTGGGGGTTGATGAGGAGTGTTGTCTCAAAGAGACTTTTTTTCAAGGTCAAAATTAGAGATGGACCCAAAATTTCATTGTTACAATTTGCATATTATACTTTGGTCATAGGCGAAGCCACAAAGTAAGGAGTGTGGACTATTTAGGCTATTCTTTGAAGCTTTGAGCTTATATATGAGCTTAAAGTTAATTTTCATAAGAATTATATTATAGGGTTGAATGTGATGGTTAATTTTATAGATACAACATCTCGCTTTCTAAATTGTAAGGTGGGATCTTTACTTTTCGGTATTTAGGCATTTATGTTGGGGATAAACCAAGAAGTAAAAGTGCTTGGCAAAAGCTTATTGAGATGCTTAATCACAAACTAGTATCTTGAAAGCACAAACACATCTTCATTAGGAGTAGAGTAACACTTTTTAATGACGTTCTAAATAGTCTTTTGGAAAATGCCACCAAGTGTAATCAAGGAGGTGATGAAGATTTAACATTGGTTTCTTTGGAGTGGCATGAAGAATGAATGTGATTTCAGGGTGTGAAATAAGAAATGGTTCAATTGAAACTTTTTGGGTAAATAAGTTTCGAAAGGATTGAAGTCTCTAAATTCATGCTTTGACGCGTTATAGGCGCAATATGAATCATGTACTGATATATTAGTTTCTTTGGAGATAGGTCATAATGCCTTGGATTGGTGGAGGAACGTGATGTTGGTTTGTAAGCAAGCCGATAGTGGATAGATTCTAATGTCACATAGGTATTTGGCGATAGTTTTTCCTTTAGTTTTTAGAGGGATAAATGAATAGAAAATATTGTGTTAGCGAATTCATACCTAATGTTGTTTTTAGCAGTGACTAATAAGGAGACACAAGTGGTAGATAATGAATGATTTCAAATAGGTCAATAGCTATAGAAATTTTGTTGGATAAGGCAATTGTTTTTATGGGAGGAGGATATACAACAGTAGTTGTGGGAGACTATAGAGGGTAAAAATTGAGAGAAGATGTAAATGACATATTGACGTGGAAGTGTGATGATAATAAGAAATATAATTTGCAATCCATTTATCATTACATTCATCATCTTTTCATTGTAGGCAACAATTTAGAGCTGTGTCTAGTGTAAGCCTTACATAAATTTTGAAAGGTCAATACATCGAGAAAGGTAGTGATATTTTGTTCGTAAACAAGTGTACATATCAAAAAGTAATAAAGGGTTTTCGAATTAAGAGTTCTTAAGTTATTGTCCCGCAAAGATTTTTTTCAAGTACCAAGAATAACTTAATTTAATTGTTTAAATGTAACAGGATTGTAACGGATCAAAAATCGAACCTAATTTTAACAATAAATTAAAAGAATAGTAATAGAATGTATGAGAGAGATCATATGAGATGAGCCTAGGACTTATGAGTTCACCTACTACACTTCTTTATGTTCTAATTAATTTAATCATGATATTGGTATTCAAATATTTGCTAACCACTCATTATTAGTTCTATTAACACCCCAATGATCATGCAAAGTAATTGGTCGAGAAAGCATGAAGATCCTATGAGTTTGTCAATTCAATAACGGCTGAAAAAAAGGAATTAAGTGTGATTAACCTAGCCCTTTATCTCATTTTATCCTATAGTTCTGTTTATTACACGTGGTTCAATCGCCTACAATGCAACTAACTATGGGATGCTAAGGGTGATCAAATCTTAACATACACAATATTATCCAATAAAATAAAACCAAATAATAAAGAAAAAACCAATACCAACATTAAAGTAAAAATTACATAAAGTTTGTAGTAGGATCCGCCACAGTCCTAGTTATGAGTTTAGTTACTTATAACAAAATAAACTACGAAGAACGTGATAAATAAACTCATAATTACGAAGGAAAATTCAAACAAAAGAAACCCAGAAAGGTAGAAGATGAAGAGAGTTCTCTTTCTCTGAAGGGGCACTCAATCACTTGCTTGGACTCCAAGGGAAAGCTCGTCATCCCTGCCAATGGTCTCTAATGACTCTCAAAGATGAGTTTGGGTAGAACTAAGAAGGGGAAGAAGGTATGTAGAGAAGTGGAAGTATCAAGTATAGAGCATAAAGCCTCTTTATATATACTGTGCCTTGAGTTTTCAATTGGTTGAGCTCTATCTTTTCAAATCAGTTTTATCCACAACCAGAATCTTAACTGAAAACTACTTGAAATCTTTATCGAAGGTTAAATTTTAAATTCAAAATTCAAACTCAGATTCACATAGCACAACAAGGATTAAAAGTATCTAATTTTTCTCCAAAATATCTCCATAATGCACTAATAACAACTTCCAGCTAAACTGCAATAATTAATAACATAATTAATATAAATATATATAAAATAAGGTCTAAGTGTATAAATATAATTCATAAAATATATTAAAATATGAACTTATCATATTTGTTTGGCATATGCTATTTAATGCAATTGCAGTGTGGAGAAATTTGACCATACGTATATTAATGATTCTCTCGTGTAATAATGAAGACAAGGATATATTGTATCTTTTTTTGCAAAGCGCAATCTCTATGAGACTGTGGTACATGTGTTCTAATGGTTTGATGTCAGTTTATGCTTATCTAGAAATTTGCACGAGATATTATTGAGTATGAATAATTTGACTTCAGCAAAATAATATTATCTTCAATAATAGTGTGCTAAATATTTGATTCTATTAAGTATGGTTCGTAGAAGCAGCTCCACCTTCGAAAATATATGAATTGGATTCATGATACTTGACACGTGTATCATTAATGCCCCGTAATAGGCTAGAGTAACCCTAGTATTCCTTCCGTTTATGCTTAAAAAAATATATATCTATTTCTAAATGTGTTAATGAGATTTGTACTAACAAAATACTTATGTATTTTTTATTAGTAAGGATTTGTAACAGAGCCGGCCATGGACAAATCATGATTCAATCAATTGAATTAGTAGATTGTTATTACATGTTTTCCCTTTTCCTCGATATTTATGCCAATATTTTTAGAGTTCAACTTCCTCTCAATAAAGCATCCTTCTATGTACTCTTTCTTAATCGTTTTGACAATGGCTGAGTCAGTTCAATTTGCTGTTACTTCAAATCTCAGGTTGGCTTCCGCAGATTTTCTTGAATTTGGAAAGCAATATAATGTGAGGGAAGCGTTGGAAGAGCTTAAGAACACTATTGAATCTATCAATGATAAGCTCCTTGATGCCGAAGACAAACAAGATCAAGACGTTGGTGTGCGAGTTTGGATCAGAAGGTTCAAAAAAGTACTTCATCAGGCAGATGACTTCTTAGATAAGCTTGCTATCCAATCCACGAGAGACAAATTGGGTGCAGCAGAAGGAAAAGAAGTAAACAAGGTACTTCTTTCCATTTCATCTTCAAATCAAATTCCTTTATACAGTGAGATGCCTGACAAAATTAAAGAGATACGAAAAAGTTTCAAAGGTGTGGTAAAAGAAATGAAGGATTTGAATTTAAGCCCAAGATCAAGGGTGGTTAAGAAAACTAATAGTGAATGGAGGGAAACGTGCTCTTTTGTATTAGAGTCAGATATCATTGGAAGAGATGATAGTAAAAAGGAGATCATTAGTCTGTTGAGACAACCACATGAAAAGCAAACAGTTTCTGTGATTGCTATTGTTGGCATTGGTGGTTTAGGGAAGACAGCTCTTGCACAGTTGGTGTATAATGACTTGGAAGTGCAGAATTTTTTTGAAATGCAAATGTGGGTGTGCGTCTCTGATAACTTTGATGTGAAAACTATTCTGAAGAAAATATTAGAATCAATTACTGGCAACCAAATTGAAGTCAAGATATCATTAGACAACTTGCAAAAAAGGCTACGTGAAAAAATAAGTGGTAAGAAATATTTGTTGGTCTTGGACGACATTTGGAATGAGAATAATAAAAAATGGGCTGAAGTGAGAACTCACTTGATGTGTGGTGCTCAAGATAGCAAGATTTTAGTGACAACTCGAAGTGAAATTGCAGCGAAGACAATGAGTGCTAGCACTTCCTATCTTTTGAAAGCCTTGACTGAAAAAGAATCTTGGAGTTTGTTAAAGAAAACTGCGTTCGAGGATGGTTCCGAAGTAGTGAATCAAAATCTAGAATCAATGGGGAAAGAAATAGCAGGAAAATGTAAAGGCATTCCATTAGCCGTTAAAACGCTCGGAGGCCTGTTAAGAGGACAATATGAAGAAAGCAAATGGAAGGATGTTTTACACGGTGACTTCTGGAAATTATGTAGAGAGCAAGATAGCATAGTGCCAATTCTAAAACTCAGTTACCAAAACTTGTCCCCAGAGATGAGACAATGTTTTGCTTATTGCTCTATATATCCCAAGGATTGGATAATTTTCAATGATGAGTTGATTCAGTTGTGGATGGCACAAGGTTACCTTCAATGTTCAACTGATAAACAATGTATGGAAGATATTGGTAACCAATACATAAAGATGTTTTTGATGAACTCATTTTTTCAAGACGCGGAAAGTGAAGATGGTGAGATCATTAGTTTCAAAATACATGATTTAATGCATGACCTTGCAATGCTTGTTGCTGGAAATGATTATTGTTACTTGGATAGTAAGGCAAAGAAACTCGTAGGTAGACCCATGCATGTATCATTGGAACTCGAGGCCATTCATTTACTGGATTTGTTAGACGAAAACAGGCTGCGAACTTTGATTTTGTGGTCTTACGATGAGGACATTGAAGGGGAACTACCCGTTGCAAATTTCAAATACTTACGCGTCTTGAAGATGCCTTGTTCTTCCATAGTCAAGTTGTCTGCTTCTGCTGAACAGTTGGAGCATTTAAGATATCTTGATTTGTTTGACAGCGCAGGACGGGTAAGTCTTCCCAAATTTATATGCAACCTTGTTTTCTTACAAACATTAAAACTGGGGAATTGCGATGAATCATTTTCAAAAGATGTCGCAAAATTAGTCAATTTGAGATTCCTTGATATTGTTGATTATGATGACTCCTTCACTGGGATGGCCGTTGGGTTGAGAAAATTGTGCTCTTTGCAAATCTTATCAATCTTTATTGTGGGAGACAGGCAAGAAATAAATTACGGCACATTAAATGAACTGAAGGACTTAATAAGAGGAAAATTACGAATGAAGCATCTCGATCGGGTCAGAGACGTGGCTTGGGAATCACAGGACGTAAATTTAAAACAAAAAAAATTCCTTCAATCCTTAACTCTCACTTGGTCGTATCAAGACATCTGTAACAGTGACAGCTTACAATTATTAGAAAACCTTAAGTCCCACCATAATCTTAAGCGATTGAAGGTGAATTATTATCCAGGTGTGCTTTTCCCAAATTGGCTTTCCCTCCTCACTAATGTTGTTGACATCAGTCTCTATGCGTTTGATAAGTGTCGTTTTCTCCCACCGTTGGAACGTCTCCCTTACCTGATGTCACTTGTGATAGAGTTACTTCCTGAATTGGAATACATATATATTCATGAAGATGGTTTTGCAGAAACCTTCTTCCCCTCTTTGAAGAGCCTCGTATTAAGAGGATGTGGGCAACTCAGGGGATGGCTAAAGCCGGGAGATGATATAAATGATTCACAAAATATCTCCTCACCTTATTCATTTCCTCATCTTTCTCATCTGGAAGTATCTATCTGTCCACAGTTGACTTGCATGCCTACTTTTCCAAATCTTAAGGATTTAAAATGGTATCAATGTAGTGCCGAGCCATTAACAGAGACACTAAACACAACGTCAACATGTTCAGTTGACTCATCTTCCTCCGCTGCTCCTCTTTCCATGCTCAAAGACTTGGAAATTTCTGATCCTATAAATTTGCGGAAGGGTTGGATGCAAAATCTGACTTCTCTCGAGTCTCTTCGAATTCAAGGGTGTCACAGTGAAACACTGGAGGAATTTCAAACTGGGTTTAAGGACGACACCAACTGCCTTATTTCTCTGCAACAAATCACCATACTTGGTTGTGAAAAACTGAAGGCTTTGCCTGATTGGATTTGCAACCTCTCGTCGCTTCAGCATATCTCGATCTTCGGTTGCCCAAAATTGGTATCGCTGCCCCAAGGAATGAGTCGTCTTACCAACTTAAAGATCTTTGAGGTTGATAGTTGTTCCCTCTTACTTGAAGAATGCCGAACAGCGACAAGTGCTATTTGTCTCCAAATCGCACACATCCCACAAATTATCCTTCTTAATCGCTTATCATAAAGGTACTGATCTGATACGTATTTATCTTGTAAACGTCGTGTATTGTATTTGCTTTGCTAATAAAATTGTGTTTTCATATTAAAATTTTCTCTTTTGAACGGAAAAAGAAATCCTGAACTTAAACGGCAATTATTTACCTCTTTTCAAATTCAATTTAATCTATCTAAAATATTTTTAAAAATAATAAAAATAATGAAAAAATTTTGGAAGAAAAGATAGTGAATAAAAATGTGTCGTGGGCATTTCCACCATCTCATAGCCCTCTTTTACAGTAAGCAATGGTTGATTTATCATAAATGCGCTTTAACAACTCATACAACTAAGAAAAATCTACAACACAGGCAATAAAGACAAGAAATATATTCAGTGCAACTCTTCCTTAACGATCCTAGAAACCTTTGGAATTTCTTGGCAAACATGCATTTTGATGAGTCAGTAACTTATCTAGAAAATTAAAAAATTTTGTTATTCTTCATTAAATTTAAATTTTAAGTAAATGCAATTAATTGAAAAATTTAATAAGATGTTGTAATTGCTGAAAAATTTATGGATCATGCATATTTTGATGTTGATAATTGAATTTTGAAGGAATTAGAAGAAGACAATTGACAATTGGACTAAAAAAAATTTAAGTGCTAAAGGACTCATCTATGAGAACACCGATTTATGCATCAAAAGTTTAGAGTGTCACAAAGGTAAGTTATCCTGCACTTTCTTGCTCTGTTTTTGGTACACTTCTTCATCCCTCTCATGCTTCATTCTTGCATCTGTGTGCTATGCAATTTATCCCAAGTTTCCCATTTGTTCTGTATTCTCTATGGGTCCCTGCTAGCAGCTGGTGCATATTTTAATTTTTGGGTGCATTTCCAAATTGTGAAAAGGGAGATAATTTGTGTTTTTAAAGGTTTTCTCCCTTTTTCTATTTTTGCACTGATGAATGACCCTTGGACGTGCTTTGAGATATTTTGCAAATTTCTGAATACTCCTCTAATTTTATTCACTGAAATTTCTTGCAAATCATTTTTTGGGTGATGATTAAGTTCACTGTTCTAGTTAAATTCTCGTTAGTATACTCTCGTGACTCGATAGCGTGCTCGTGATACATTACTTGCGCAACAATGCTTGCTGCAGCTGGTAGCTATTGTATTCAGAGTAACGAGATCTTGATTGCACGAGCTAGCTGATTTGAATTCTGCTTTTGAGAAGAACTAGGACGTGATTTGGTGTGTCATCTTTGTTAATTATTTTTATATATTATTTAGTGATTTTGGGTGACCCAGGTGTTGATTTAACTTTGCATAAATTCTGTTCTTTGCTGTTTGGATCCCTTTCACTGTAGAATTCATTTTTGTATATGATGTACTGTAATGTCTTATCATTCATTGTCAATTTCTCTTTCACACGCAGTTATCATAAATGATGTTATTCCTTTTGATATATAACTATATAAGTCTCCTCTCTCAAAATTGGTCTTACTCATTGTTTATACAAGAAGCACAAAATTCTTAATAGTTTTCTTCTCTTTTTTAGTGCATTTTCACTTTACTTGAAGGTTCATAGGTGTTTTCAGTTTTAAACAAACTTGGAGGCATATTGTTTTAAATCACTGGGTGTTGTAGATGGTAAACAATATCAATATTATATGATAATTCTGACAGCATAGCAATTGGTATTTAGAAGTTATTTTAAATATCACCAAACCAGTGCATTGTTTGTCACTTTTATTGAGTTATACTTTTCATATCTTATGAATTTTTGCACAACAATGCTTTGAATTTATTCTGAAATTTTTTTGTGTACATTCCTTTAAATATTGTTGACTGTCATTAATTCTTGAACATTATTTGACTAGTGATATAATTTATTTTTTTGGTGGTGTGCTTTACCTTGCTGAGAACTTTCCTCCTTTTCTAAACTCTAATTGAATCTTTTCTCTCATGAACAAATTCTACTTGCTAGACTCTCCTGTATCTCTTGCACAGAGTTTAACATTCATTTTTTTGAGAAGGACTTTAAACTGTTTTGACTCACCATGAGAGTGCAAATTTTTTTTTTGTAATGAGCAGCATGTACACACTATATTAAATTTTCTCTTTTATATGCCCTTTACATTGTCAAATATCATATCACCTCATGGCTGTCATATTCTGAATCCATTTTGCGAATTATACTGAGTGACCAAATTCTCATTCTGAATTTTTAGGATTCATCATTCTTTAGTTGGGTAATTTTCTCTCTGCAAGTTTTTCTCTTGGTTTATGCAATGCTGTCAAATTCTTATTCTTGAATGCTCAAAATTCTGGTTCATACATAGCGGACATATGCAATTTTAATTCTTTTTACTGCACAAAATTCCAGCTTGCCATAATTTCAATTTAATGCAATTCAATTTTCTTTTTACAACACTTGAATGCACAATTGTTTTACTTTCTGGGTGTTGTGAGTGCAAGTACATATGCATTAGCTGCATACTTCTTGTGATGAATTGAAACTTGTACATGCTCTTATAGTCTTTTGGTCAAATCTGATACATGTTAGCTGCATTCTTTGATCGGACAATTACACTGAGCTTTGAAACATAAGCATCTCTGTTTTTTGGCATGTTATCAGATTGGGATATTTTTTCAGTGCTATATTTTCTAATTTTGTGCAGTATACATCCTTACTTATTGCCTTATTTTTCTAGCTGCAAATTTTGCAAAATTTTGTATGCTCTTTGATTTAATTTGTCAATATGCAGACTGCACAATACATAGCATTTTATGGCACTGCATGATCTGTATTGTAAATATGGTCCACTATCTTCATGGTTTATTATTTTGGATTCATAGTTTATAATGCACCTTTCTCTTTAGTCCAACCAATTCAAAGCAATGATCTTTTCAAATTTATTTAGTTAAACTTTTCCTCATAATTTTACTTTAGTGTGTCTCTTGACTGGTGCACAAGTTCTGAAATTTTTCTGAAAATTTGTGTAATTCCCCTCATTACCCCTTCATGCAGTGAACTTTTGTATTTGATGATTACGGATTCTGGTCCAGCAGCTGACGCCCAAGAAGATGAGGACATTTGAAGAATTTTCCCCAGCTTTACCTCTTATTTTACTACTTTGTTTCTGTTTAAATTTGCTTCATTTTGAGTTTGTAATTATTTCATTTGGAATTCTGTTTTAGAATAATGTGTTTTATTTTGCAAGTACATAGAATGGACAATTGTATTTTGCCACTATTCTGCATAATAGACACTTTTATGTTTTTCTGATTTGTGCAACCAGTGGTAGTTGAAATTCTGCTATAATGAATGTTGGGGGAGGCTAGTTCCAAGCCTCTGAATACTCTAAATTTACAAGGGAGTTCCGTTCTGTTTTTCATAATCACTTAATTTTTGCACCTTGCGTTTTTTTGTTCTGACTAGAAAATTTTCCCTGTATTATATTCATCACTCCTTGCATATAGTAATTGCCTGCATCACTTTTGCACAGCTCCCACAGTTTACAATTTCGCAAACACATTTCAATATTGCTGGACATCATTTTGACTTAAATTCCATAAATTTATCATGTTAGCAATTGAGCCCAAATTTTATTACTGAGAGCATGCTTGCTGTAATTGTTATTTTCTTTGCATGATTTGTCATTTTTCTTTGCCTCTTCCTATGCATTCATGTTTTAAAATGATTGAGGCCATTATTTTCTTTAGCTACTTTTAACCAAAATGCCATCCATTCATTCAACCTTTGTTAGCCCTTTTGAGCCTAGCCAAAATTTTTCTCTCACCTTTACACCAGCACCAACTATGCCCAAACACCTATCCCTCCTTATAACTTAACGTAAGATGTGCTTAGTAGAGCACTTTCATACTAAATGCATTCCACTTATACCCCTTTTTAATGTAATTACACTTACTGAATCCTTTAGACCAGTATTACATTTTATCATATCATTTCATCCAGATATTTTCCATACAATCACATTATAATCACTCAACAAATTTATCAATATTCCACAATGAATACTCATCATATAATACATACTAGCATATAACAACTTATCAGTTTAAACAATCAAATAAGCATTTTTCAATCGTTATTCATGCAATATATACTCTTCAACCATATATTTTTATGAAATGTTCATATCATAGTGCTCTAATGAGTACAAAATAAATATTGTAATATAACAGTAAAATAAAGTCCTCCTTACTTCAAAGATGAGTTTACGAAGAGATATTGAAGAAGATCAGAGATTAACCACGGAAGGTCTCTTGAATACCAAGATATATCCATAAGAAACCAAAAATACAAGAAACGATCAAAGAAAATATAATTTAATCTAAAGAAACTTACTTTGAATAGTTCAGATTCAATGTCAAGGCTCGGATTTAAAAAGTAATAAGAGTTTCTGAAGCTTTTATCTAAGGAAAAGAAGAGAGAGTTCAAAGAAAACTGAGAGCAGAATGTGAGTTTAGAATGAAATGAAATTTTCATACTGAAAATCCCTTACATACCCCTCAGCCCCACGCGCTCTCGCTTGAGCGATGGATATTTCGCTTGAGCGACAGATATCTCGCCTGAGCGAGATATGCAGATAGCAGTCTTGCACAACTTTTCCTGATATATTCGCTTGAGTGAGCTCTATCTCGCCTGAGCAAGATGACATCCAGAGAGTAGGATATTCTTCTTGTTGATCTCAGCTCACCTAAGTGAGATCACTTTCACCTGGGCGATGTGACAGTTGGGCTAAATCTAATCTATCTCACTTGAGCGAGATCACCCTGAAGCCTTATATTTCTGAGCGCTCAGTATTACTTGAACGAAATTTACCTTGCCTGAGCAAGACCCCGTGCACCAGAATCCTTGAAAAAATCCTCTATATTCACTTTTAAATCTATTCTAATACTACTTAATATTAAACAAAACATAATTTACTGCATAATGAAAAAGAGAATGTTCCACTACTGACAATGCAAAATGATTCTAAAAGTTTTCGTCAGCTTGGTTAC